AGAATTACTATTATTAACCACTATTTAGGAAGACAGTAGCAAAATGTTAGGGAACGTACCCATAGATGAGGAAGCAACAAGCAGTCATATGGAAGGTGCAACATACTTTATACGCAACAGGTCTCCTTCTGAGCAAGAAACAGGAGTGGCATCATGCTGCTGAGTTCCAGGAGCTGCTAATTCACCATCTAGCTCTCAATTAATTTCCAATTGTAATTTTTGAAGTCTGTAACTGGTTATGGCCTAGTTATCCAGTCACAGCTTTTCAGATAAGGCTTACTGAAAAACCTTCTAAAGGGACTTTGGACCAGGCTAGCATTGTACAATAGATTTCAAATGAGAAGTTTCTGATGAAGGATGCTTTGTGAGGGGAGTTGTTACCACATGAGAATTAAACTAAGACTAACACAGGTTTTCTCAATGTTTTCTCAGATCTTACACTGCATGAGTTTTATAAATCTTATTGCTCAAAGTGCTGCATTGGGCTCCAGAGCATCAGTTTGGATACTACTGGGATGCGTGCCCTAGACATACCCATACCTACAGTAGCAATGGGCACCTCAGCAGTGTCCTTTTCCTGCCCATACAGATGTGAAGCATTTTCTGCTGATACTACTCCCAGCTCCTTTTCTTTTTTTCCCTCTGAACTGGTGTTTTGAATGTGGTTACTGTGGAACACTGAATATGTTTCAATATGCAAAAAAGAAGCAATGGGACCGTTAGCATCTGCTATTTTTTCTTTCCACCAAGCTGCTCACCACATGGCGTAGTGGTGAGCAGAGACAAGATCTTACTGAGGGTAGAAGTATGTCCGTAGGCTCTTTGATGAGTGATGGTTAGCTGGAGCCTGGTCCCAACCACCACTAGTACTTTACTTACCACCAACCAAGAAAGAAAGAGCAGCAATCCCCACACAAGAGCATACCAAGGTGCTTATATTGGGTACACGCTACTAAAGCTGCATGAAGACTGGCTTCTGCCAGTGCAGTCAGGCATCTGAGGAGACACTTAGTATCAGGTAGTGTTTTATTACACAAGCTATTTATACAGAGATATACAGAGGTGCCTTTCTGTCTGAACGGCAGCCATATTTTCCATTAGTTGCCAGCCATCAGCAGCAAGATCACTTCCTGCCAAACTGAGGCAACGGTGGTGGCACTTTGATGTCTTGACCTCTTTCCAGTTTCTTCTCGCAGTCAACTAGGTAATTGACCCCGTCAATGACAATCTGGACTAGCTCCACCTACAATAATAAGAAGAAAATAATAGTAATAGAAGCTTTAGCTAATGTTGTTAATATAGGAAGGGAAAATTGGCTTGTACTGCAGTGACAGCAGGTAAAGCTAGAAGTAAGGAGGGCCATGGCATAAAGATCACACACCCTGTGGCACAGGGAGTATGGGTCATGCTGGTCCAGTGGAAACCCATGGTAATTCCCTTCTTTTTGCCTTGAGTTTGGACCACCAGCAACAGAAATTTTCAAATAGGGCCCTAAAGTTATTTTCACCAAATTGTGCTCCTACTCGTCTTCCTATAGGAACAAAGCAAACAAATAAGAGTACTTCGAAATATTTAGACGTAAGTTGAGAGACCTATTTCAAATGTGATCACCATGAGGGTCCAGGATCCTCCCCAGATGTTTGCTGAGAAGTAATACCTGGCACAGCCAGGGCTGCTTGTCCATTGTGTTCCCCACACTCACGTACAAGGATGAAGAAACCAAAACATCAGTGCTGTGAGTGCTCAGCAGCACCGAGCAGTTCTCGCTGAAGCAGCAAATGCCCTTGCTATGTCTTCCCAGCTCCCAAGCCTGTGCTGCCCCTGAGTTTGCAGGAGCATTTATGTGAGCACAGAGTCAGACAGAAACTAACTGGGACAATGGTGCAAGGAGAGGAAGACAGAAGCTCATTACCCTGACTCACACCAGCCCTGAATGCTGCTGGAGGCATGGGGTGGGAGTCCTTCACATGGCTGGGACTGGGAGGATGGCAGGACTACCTGTTTGGCCACAGCCATTTAGACTGCCTGAGAAAGCTCGTTAAACTAGAGTCTTGTACTACTTCACAGGCATGGCTCAGGACCATATGTTCCCCTGCAGATGACCATGAGCCCTGCTGCAATGATTTGTCAGCTGTGGGGAAAGGTGTCCTACTCATCCTGCCCAGCGTGCTGGCTTTGCTGAGGCAGTTTTGCTGAGCCCAGGACCCACATCTCTGAAGCAGAGGGAGTCATCCTAAAGTTCGTGCTGGCTCTACATCATCCATAACTCCTTTCTTTTCAGCTCTTGATTTACACGGGCCGGGGTGGGATTAGCTCCAGGCCCAGTGCTGCACCAAAATTTGCAATTCTGTATGGCAGGGGGTAGTGGTGTCTTTGTAACCTTTTTCAAAATTGCTCAATAATACAAGGTGCCTTGTCCCCATGGCACTTTCTCCACAGGCTGTGACATGGGAGGGCCACAGGCCCTGTGGTATTGTTAGCCTGCAAGCTATAGCACTGATTTTTCTTAATCTTCATGGAATGGTTCATTAGCAACCTTTAATGACTGGCTTGTTAAAACCTAATGCGAAGACTAAATCTCATTGTCTCTTTATTGTGACAGTTGCTGATTTTCAAGGGATTTGTTTTTGCTATAAAGCATTTCAGTGGCTTAGTGGTTTATTTTATTGTCTTTTACAAACCAGCTGTGTTGGGAAATCAGAGGTTTGAATTTGCAGCCTCCAGGAGAAAAGGAATTTCATATTAAGTTTGCATTGACCAGTAACTGAAACAAAGCAAAAATAGAAACAATTTTATCTTGCACCTTTGGGAACATAATTTAGTTCTGCAAACACATTTACCACATAATGGAATTTATTTTATTATGTACTGCAAAAAATACAATCTTGCAATAAAACATTTCTATCCCCTTGAGTTTGCCTTGTCTTATTTAGATTTCAAAATCTTCAAGGTAAGGATTGTATCTTATCTATTGGCATAATCCTTTGCATCCTTGCTGTCTGAGGCATCACTGACTTCAGTGGAAGTCTTTATATAAGCAAAAATTTGTAGGCTTAGCCCATCTGCCAGTAGAACTCATATTAACTGATCATGCCATGTAATCCGTTTGTATTATTAGTGTTATTTTAGTATAAAGCACACATGATAATGTTTCAGATATTAATAAATGTCTTTGACACATACTGTTTTTGCAAATAATACAGCTTAATGGTTTTTCAGTCTAGATCCAAGGGAACATAGCTGCCTATATCCAACTCCAAAATTTAAAATTTCCAACCCTTGTCCAAATGTCCCTTGGCTGTGAAGACATTCAAGGGCATGTCCAAATACAAAAGCACAGAAAACCCGACTTGACTCTGTCCCAGTGGCAGAAAACCCAAGGTGAGTGAGGAAGGGAAGCCAGCTGTCTGGCTGTGGACCAGTTTGAATCTAGTTGTGAACCAGGTGCATTATCCCAGGGTTATATTCATGTTATGGAAACCTGCCAAGAATCAGGCTGAACTCAGGTGTTGGGCTGCAACACCAGGACCAAGCGGTATCCGTATCTAAGCTGCCAAAGCCTCTTAGTGCTGTGCTGTTCTGCATAAACACACCTTGACAACATGCTTTTCTTTGCAGTCGAGTTTTAACTTGCAGCAAAGCCCTTAAGTGAATTAAAAAATTTTGCTGCTGGGCAAGCAGGCAGCCCTTCAAATCCTGACATGTAGAAGCAGGTTGGCATCTGAGGCCAAAGCATGTATTGCATTGCTCGTGGAGAAAAAGTCCTCAGGAGACATCAGTCCCACCAGGGCCTGCCTGGTTGACCATAGCTGAAAGGTTACAGCACACACCTGGGTGATGAAAGACATGTTTCACAGAAGGTTTGAAAGCCTCTGTTTCCTATCTACTAGCATAGTGCTCAAATCACTGGACTTACAGGGTCTTGCAAGGTAAATTTTTGTCTCGGTTGTTCTTGATGTGGCCAAGGGTGAGCACAGCTCTGGCCTTGATGAGGAAAGGGAAGCTGTAGCTGTGCCAGAGAACTTACAGCCTGTGACCTGGAGTAAAGGTTTAGCTCAGGCAGATCTAGTGGGAGGAGGCTGCAACTCTTTGACTCAGCTGTTTCTCTCCCATCCTCTAGTAGATTTGCTCTTAGGAGTTGTTCTGCTGTATAAAATACTTAAATATGAAACTGGAATGAGGTCTGGGACATGAGTCTCCCAGGAGAGCAGCAGCACCACCATGCTGTAGGGTCATTTCCACTCTCTGGCACAACAAATACTCATTCAAACTGAAATAGCTTCAAAACCAATGTCTGAGATGAACCCGTCTCATTGTAGTCTACAGCCCAACAGGGAGGGCTCAGAGCTGACAATAAAATCTTTGCCCTGATTTAAACCTAGCTCTCCCATGTCCTCTGCTCAGTGCCACACAAGACACGTGAAGATGGCACCAGCTCCTTCTCCTCAATTATTTTGGAGTGAAAAGTCTGGCCTTGTCCTGCCGTCTAACTGCGGGGAAAGTGCATGGCTCTGCATATCAGTCTTGCTTTCAGTGCCTCATTCCCTGGGTGAGTTAGGGCTCAATCCCTGCTACTTTCCCCAGAATTTTGCACCAGGTACAGCAGGTACCACCCAAGGTGTAGTAGCTATCTCAGTGGCCACAGTACAACTTAAAAACCTGTCTCATGTCCAGCACTGCAGAGACCACCAGACACTGATCTCATAGCTGGGCACTCCAGCAGGCAAGCAGGTCTAAGAGTTCATGCTGTGATGCTGTGAAACACCATCCTGAGGGATGTCTGTTACCAAAGCCAAACTTTCTAGCGCCTGTGTTCTCTCAATGGAGATCCTCAGCACATGGTACAAGCAAGTCACATTTGTGGAACTTGCTCAGGGTTGGTTTTTTTCATTGTCATAATAGGAATACTTGTCAAACACTTCATGCACGTTAATAATTTTTCTTTGAGTAAGCATTTGCACTGGACCAGATTCATCAGGAGTAAAAACTGCCATGGCTCCGCTGAGGTCAGCGAAGTGAACCCAGCCAGAGGGAAACTGACTTGTATCAGTACAGATCTGAGCTAAAAAGCAAGGAAAAAACACCCGGCAGGTTACCTCCGAGCGACCCATGCGGTCCAGGTTGGAGATATCATACACATCTGCTACAGCTGCCGTGTCCACTCCACCAGTGCCACGCTTTTGTAGGCGCAAGTTCTCCAGGATCTTTGGAAACCTGGGATCCTATCAGAAGAAACAGGTTTGAGCTTATTGCCTTTTACCCGGTATGTTGTGCCAAATAGTTGCAATGCTATTATCCATGACTTAATAGCATCTCCAGAAAGACAGGCAGAGATGTATAGTTTTCTCCATCCTTGGATTACAGCCTGTCTTGGAGGCTGTCTGCTGAGTAGATTGATTTCCATAACAAATTCAATAATTTGCAGAATAAAAGTGTGCTCAATTAGTTGTGTATTATCCCTGGGAGCTTGTTAGACATCATGCTAACATGCAGCGCTGTAAGCTGTCATTTTTCATTTGTTCCTTTATAAATCAGAAGAACTGACTTGTGTCACTGCCCTTTTAAATGACTTACGTACCTTGCTAAGCCTGGGCAGCTTAACATGGACTCCAGCACGTAAACCAGTTCCCAGGTTGGAAGGACAGGTCAGAACATATCCGAGACGTTCATTCCACATGAACTCCCAGCCCCGTTCTTTAATTAATCTTTCCACCTAAGATGGCAAATAAAAAAAGAAAACAAAAAGAAAAAGGCAGCATGAAAGTATCTTATTTTAAAATGTCTGCTTATAGCTGAGATTCTTTTCACCGTCTGAGTTGATGATGAACTTCACTGACACCAGTGAAGTTGCATAAATTTACACCCGAGTACAGTCTGGTTTGGATCTGAGGCAAATGTTTGCATGCATCAGGTACCAAGATCCCCAGTCCATATTACAGGGATTTCTTCATCATTTTTTCATGACCACTAGCTTTCAGACTCTTTGTCACTTTATCACAAAGTTCCCTGTCATGATGGTTTGGTATAGCCTTAGCCCATGAAACTGTATCTTCACATAAGAATTATGGCTTTTGTGTTTCTAAACTTGGTATTTTTGGAGGAAGGTTGCAACACACAAGCCCAAAGGACTCAAATGCTATGAAGCAAACAAAAGGAGCTGAAGATTAATTTTGTGTAATTTTCAAGGTGATGCCATGACTCTCGGGGAAGGACAGTAAAATCCTAGTATTAACAGCCACACTTCCATTCTAAGGAGACAATGTAGCTTGTATATAATGCTTTTCATTAGTAGATCTCTTGACAGTGGGAAACTAGACCTGATTTTCTGCTTCAGACACCAGCTCTGGTTGCACTTCCCAAAGCTGTCTGACCACTTCCACAGCCAGGCCCATAGGTCCACCTCTGTTGAACACGAGCTAACCACGGGCAAAACTGGGAACAGCATCCGCAAGCCATGTCACCTGGGCCACCACCTTGTCCAGTTTAGTCTCATAGATATACCTTGCAAACCTAACAGGTGCCAGTTAACCATCCCAATGCCAAAGCAGCATACATTAAGTGCGTTTGTTTTCCTGTGTTCCCAAACCCACTACATGCTAAAACTTCCCTATGGATGCTCTGAACTTCCTTGGCTTCCACAATAAGGACATTGTAGTTCCCTGTTTCCCTTACTTGGCTTTGTGTTTTTTTGGCTGGGGACTGTGAAGTGATATGGAAGGGGTGCACAGCTGTATTAGCTCTACATTTGCTGGGGATTTTCTGAGGCAGAGGTGTCTCTAGAAAGCCAGAGAATCTGTTTTGCCAATGTGAGATGAATGATACAAGCTGGTCCAATATGCATTTCCATACCCAGGAAGAAAAACAGTGTGATGGAGACAAATGCTGTTCCTCCACAGTTCATCTGAAGTAAGCATGCCAAGGACCCCAATGAGCAGAAATGTTTATTTTATGCAGCCTGAATATTCTTGCAGTCTTGGAGACAATTTCAAGCCCATTTCAGCCTTCCATAGCTAAACCTCTAGGCTTTCCTGTACTATGGCAATCCACCCAGGAATGGCGTCGACAAGAGTAGTGGAGAATAGTGTTCAGCCATGTCACCTGTTCCACTGCACCTTACACTTCCACCAAAACATAACATTGCCTGTGGGACACAATAAAGGCCACCTTCTCTCCTAAAGCAACTTTTTCCGTGACAGAGCAGTACACAGGGCTGCACTGGGCCCAGAGCCAACGAGCCATATGTAGATTGTCTAGACAAAACTGTTTTAACCCACACACCTTCTCATGAAGGCTTTCTTATATTTGTGAATAGCTAGACCAAATAAAATCCCAGATCCCTGGCTATCAGTTCTTAGTATTATAATCACAAAGCCCCATATGTCATCCATGACATAGTCACTGGAGTCAAGTGCACCCTCAGCAAGTTTGCAGGCAA